TTATCATGGGATGAAACTTTGATACAAATATCTTCAGTCAATACAATGTGCTTGATTTTACCTAGATGAGATTTTTCTTTTCTTCTTTCTTTTTTGAGACAGAGTTTTGCTATGTTACCCAGACTAGCATCAAACCCCTGGCCCCTGGCCTCAAGTGATCCTCTCACCTTGGCCTCCCAGAGTGCTGGGTGTTACAGGTGTGAGTCACTGAATCCAGCCTCACTTAGATGGCTTTCTTAGTGAATTATTTTATCTGGTTCTAAAACTTTTTGACAATACTCTCAAATATTTATGGATTTTATAGCATAATTTATGGATTACATAAATCATTATGAATTTCATAAATGATTTTGTGGTATTGCCACGGATCATCACCATTATACAGGATGTATAACATAACCATGGTTTAATATATTTTCATAAATTATAGACTAAACAAAGGCTGGTCAGGACCAGGGCGTGCATGCATTTTATATGTGTGGTGCCTTTTGGAATATGCCAGGCCTCCCGTGAAAAAATCAGTAAGTGCTTATCTCATAGGACCAACGGCCCGACATTCCTGAAGTCACTACCACACTTTGCACTTATCTCCATGTGGAAATAGATAGCCACTGTTGAATTCTGGTGAGAATGACACGTCTGAAATCTCTCAGCTTCACAACCCCTATTACAGCCCTCAGAGAATCTTCTCACATAGCACCAAACAACAACTTTAGGAAGTGATGTTCCTAGAATGAATCAGTTTCTAAAATTAAAAATGAAAACAATGACGAGGAGATGGGAGGGTCAGGGAGGAAAGGCTGAAGCTACTAAAAGACAAAAGACAGTATAACCTCTTATGAGGATGGTCCAGACACTCAGGGAAATGCAGGAAGAAATAAAAGATAGGAATTTGAACCACACTGTGATGGCTAACTTTATGTGTCGACCCAACCGATCTATGGGACACCCAGATAGCTTGGAAAGCACTATTTCTGGGTGCATCTGTGAGGGTGGTTTTGGAAGAGATCAACACTTGAGTCAGTAGACTGGGTAAAGCAGATGGTCCTCACCAATGTGGGTGCACATTGTTTAATCTGTTGAGTGCCTGGATAGAACAAAAAAGGCAGAAGAGTGAATTCCTTTTCTCTTCTTAAGCTGGGACATCCATCCTTTCCTGCCATCAGACATGAGAGATTTGGATTCTTGGGCCTTTGGTCTCTAGGATTGACACCGGTGGCCACCTCTGGTTTCAGGTCTTTATTGTTAAGTTGCACCATCAGCTTCCTTGGTTCTCGGGCCTTAAGACTCAGGCTAAAATACACCACCAGCTTCCCTAGTTCTCCAGCATAGGGACAGCAAATCATGAAACCTTCTGCCTTCGTAATCATATAAGTCAATTCCCATAAAAAATATGTGCTTATATATCTATAGCTTTCCTTTTGGTTCTGTTTCTCCAAAGAACCTTAATGTACACACTATACGACCTAACCCATAGTAATGATAACCTTATGCAGGTTAGAATAAGATGATGGTATTCTCAGTATCTGGGGGGTATGAGCTGGAGTGATGAACCACCCCAGTGAGCCTAGGACTGAGGATATTTCTGAAATGTGGAATATTTGGTGTCAACACCAGAAAATAATATAGCCATATGGAAAACAAGTAGAACTACCATATGATTCAGCAACCCAACCACTGGGAATTTACCCAAAGGAAAAGAAACCAGTAATAAAAGAGAATCTGTAATCCCATGTTTATTGCAGCACTATTCTCAATAGTCAAGATACAGACTCAACCTAGGTGATCAGATGAATGGACAAAGAAAATGTGGCATATGTACACCATGAAATACTTATCAGCTATAAAAAAGAATTAGCCAAAGCAGTGGTGTGTGCCTGTCATCCCAGCTCCATGGGAGGCTGAGGTGGGAGGATCTCTTGAGGCCGGAAGTTTGAGACCAGCCTGGGCAACGTAAGACTCGGTCTCTAAAAAAACATTAAAAATAGGCCTTCCTTAAAAAAAGAATAAAATCCTGTGATTCACGACAACACAGATGGGACTGGAGGACATTAATATTAAGTGAAATTAGCCAGGAACAGCAAGTTAAACCCCACATATTCTCATTCATGTGCGGAAGCTAGAAAAAGTTGATCTCATAGAAGTAAAAAGTAGAACAGACGATACCGGAGACTAGAAAAGGCAGGGAGAAGGAAGGGAGAGGGAAAGATTTGTTAACAGATACATAAACAAAATTACAATTAGATGGAGGAAATTAATTCCAGCATCCCGTAGCACTATAGGATGACTATAGTTAATAATGATACATTAATTAGTCTCAAATAGCTAGAAGGAGGATATTGAATATTTCCAACACACGAAAAAAATGATAATGTATGAGATGATGTACATTTTTAGTATTCGAAAATTATAAGTTTTAATAGGTTTGATTTTCCTCTCTATAATCTATGTTTTCTTCCTTTATTCCCTCAGTTAACAAATAAATAAAAAAGATAATAAATGTAAAAATAAATAAAAACTGAATTAGTGTTCCATGCAAACCTGGATAAACTGGTCACTCTACATCTGCCCATCTAGATGGCTGGTGAAACTTTCCCAGGCTCCACGCCAAGTTCTTCCACTGCTCACTGGAACTTCCCTAGTCAGGTTGGGCAAATACTAATTTGCAGCAACGGTGAATTTATCACTGACGTTTCTTCAGTTCCCCTCTTTGGCGTCTGCTTCTTCTTTTCTGTAATGCTGTTTGTTGAAATGCCCAACATCCTTTTTCTTCCCTAGAGCTATTCAGGGTGACCTTTCTTTTCACATTTTCCCATGCCACTTCCATTATGTCAAAATAAAACAGTCCTGTGTGAACACTGCTCATGACCTTGTTTCCTGCCATGTGAAGATAGGATCGCCTGCTCTTCCTTCTCCTCCTTTTTTTTTTTTAGAGACAGGATCTGTCTCTGTCACCCAGACTGGAGTGCAGTGGCACAGTCATAGCTTGATGCAGCCTCGAACTCCTGGACCCAAGCGATCCTCTCGCCTCAGCCTCCTGAGTAGCTGGGACTACAGGTGCACACCACCATGCCTTCCTAATCTTTTATATATATATACATATACACACAAACACACACACACACACACATATATATATATATAGAGAGAGAGAGAGATGAGGTCTTGCTGTGTCACCCAGGCTGAAGATCAGCTGCTCTTTCTAATGTGTGGTTAGATAAGAAGATCTATCTCCCAGGGGATAAAATACTACCTGGAATAAAGGTATCTTTAAAATAATCACAGAGAAGAAAACATTTTTACAGTATGACAGAGGCAGAGAAAACAGAGAACATTTGTTAAGGCGGGACTTTCACCACTCCCAGTACAATCATCTGTCTGTTACCTGCATACCTTACACGGGTTGGCACTGCTGGGGGTACAAAGTAGATGCCAAACTTCACAATGGTTAGATTCATGTTTAAAGAGCCATTGGATCAAACCTTTGTGAAAGTTTCCAGCTTTTTTCTGTTCCAAATATGTGTCCATTATAAAAGAACCTCAAGAGCATAATTGCCAAGATAGTCTATGTCCGTGAGTATTTCAATGTCTCTCATGAAATCTGTTCCCATCATTACTCAAGATATTATATGAACAGTATTCCACACAAACTAGTCACTCAATAATGATTGATTGGCCAATGGAGGGTCATTATCTAATGCACTACAATCTTTTATGCAAGGGGCCCACAGGAATCAGTATGATCCCATAGGAATCCTTTTCTTTTCCTTTGAGAAAGAAACAGATAGTGGCTTGTATTAGATTTCCTGTGTGTGTTGTGAGGGGGAAAGATATAAAAAGAAACTTGATCAGAGCATAAATGTGGGCCCATGGGATAGGAAAGAATGACGGAATAAAGGAGGAAAACATAGATTATAGACAGGAAAATCAAACCTATTAAAACTCATATTTTTCAAATACTAGACATGTACATTCATTTGAACAAAAGGATGCTGTAAAGCAAGATTTCTCTGTTCTTCCCAGCACTAGCATGCCCAAACTACCTTAGGAAATGAATAGCAGAGTCAAAAGCACCTGAAATTTAAAACAAAAACCAATTTACATTTTATTTAAGGAAAGCAAACAGATGGGACTGCTAATAATGTCAAAGTCTAGTTTACAAAGAGAAAAACAAATCTGGAACCTTAAGTCAAATGAGTTCAAAATAAAAAGCAAACCAATAAACAGAAACCAACATAGACAGAAGTTCCTACCATCTCCCTCAGCCTGTGAAATTCTAGAACTTCTCTTTCCTTCTCCCCTTCTTCTTCTCTCACCTGGAAGATGAGCAGAGTGAACCCTCAGGGGTTGTCAGTTCCCCAGATGGCACCACATTCATAAACCACAAACTCCAGGAGAATGTAGGAAGCTTAGCCCAGGCCAAAGTTCTCTTTGGATCTTCCATATGGGTTTCAAGACAAAAGAAAAAAAAAAGTTTGCTTGAGAATATCTTCATATCTATTAGTTTGAACCATGCAAAATTATAGTTCTTATAGGTAAAATGAGTGTATATTGGCAATTTCAAATGATTGGCCCTAATACATTATGCTTTGGGGTATAGAAATATTCAGATCTTAAATATACACAGTTAAATACAAAATCAGGTATATTCCTGTTTCTATAATTAAAACAAAGAGAGTTTCCTTTGGTCACTACTCCCTCTGACAAGAGGTGTGAACCAAATTCAGAGGCCGGAAAGGTCCAGGTCTGGGTCATTTCTCCATGCCTCACTTGTCCTGCTGTCTTGGTCGGTCATCGTGTTAAGCTGTCTCATAAAACATCTGCTATGGCTTGACTTTCTTCTGATAGGGTGGCTTTCCATCCTTGGCACTTCGTTGGCCTTCTTGGTATGCTTTATGCACTGGTTCTTGTTTCCAAATTGGCATTATTGTTGTTATGATTCCTGCTGCTTTCCCACATTTCCCGTCTTTCTTCTGATCTCTCTCTCGCCTGTACATTTCTTACATTTTCTCCTGTGCTTCCTTCTTCCCATAATCATTGCCCAAGCGTGTCTTTTTTCTTCTCCTTGGCACATTTCCTTTGTCCACTCTCACATATGCAGAGATGGCTCTTGGTTTTCCTTCTGAAATCTCATAGTTTGGAGGTAAACTTGTTAGCAAGGCCACTGAGAAGAGAACAAGAGGGAAACAAACGGGAAATTAAGCCACTATCTCTCTCATTTCCTGGTTTCTAGAAATAAGACCCAAAGAACTCACTGTCTCAGCACTTTCAGCTCAGGCCACACTAGGGTGATCAAACTGAGCTTCTGAGTGCTGATCAAAACCTATAAAACCAAGTAGACCATCTCCAAATCTTCACTGTTAATACCATAAAGAATGAAAAGGTCACTAATTGGTAAGACTATATGTGTGATAATTAAATTTATGTATCAACCTGGCTAGGTTAAAGGATGACCAGGTACCTGGTAAAACATTATTCTGGGTGTGTCTATAAGAGTGTTTTGGGAAGAGATTAGCATTTGAATTGGTGAACTTAGTAAAGCAGATGGCTCTCACCAATAAGGGCAGGCATCATCCAATCTGTCGAAGGCCTGAATAAAACAAAAAGGTAGAGGAAAGGAAAATTTGCTTCTTCTCTTCTTGGTCTAGCATATCATCTTCTCCTGCCCTTGGATATTAGTGCTCCTGGTTAGTGGGCCTTCAGACTTAAACCAGGATTTATCCGTTTGGCTTCCCTGGTTCTCAGTTCTTTGGACTTGGACTGAATTACACTGCCAGCTTTCCTGGTTCTCCAGCTTGCAGATGGCAGATCATGGGACTCCTTGGCCTCCATAATTGTGTGAGCCAATTTCCATTTAATTTACATATCCAGTCATGCATTGCTTAACAATGGAGATACATTTCTGAGAAATGCATTGTTGAGTGATTTCATCATTGTGCAAACATCATAGAGTGTAATTACACAAACCTAGACAGCATAGACTACTACACACCTAGGCTACATAGTGTAGTCTGTAACATAATGATAAGTATGTATATATCTAACCATATCTAAATGTAGAAAAGGTACAGTAAAAATATGGTATAATCTTATGGGATCACCATCATATATGCAATCCTTTGTAGACTGAAATGCCTTTGTGTAGTGCATAGTTGTATACGCGCGCACACACACACACACACACACACACATCCTATTGGTTCTTTTTGTCAGAAGAGCCCTAAAACAATATGTTATACATTTATATTGACTCTGTTTCAAAATTTATGGTTTTGGTGAAACATATGTGGAGATGGGGTATAGGCATCTGAACTGGGATAGTGTCCTGCTAAAGAATGGGTGGGAGGCATCATTTGGGACAAACCCAGGATATCAGCTTATAGGTATCAAGAGCTCAACAAGAGCACTTTATGGCAAAACCCCCCACAAGATCTCTCAGAAGTTGTGAAAAATGTTTCTGCTAAAAGTTTCTTTATGACAGATGATGTTTATGGATAAAATAGGGATTAGCAGGATTCTTTAAATACTTTCAAACACTGACTTTCATTTCTACCAGGCAGTGGGGCCCCAAGTGCAGGGCCGTGGGAAGTGCTAGTCTGAGAGATATTAGGCTGCACTGTCTGTAGAGAATCTGAAAAAATAATAGAGTCAACTGAAATGTAGTTTGGTATCATTATTGCCATGCATCATAATTCTAAATCATGCTAGTGGTCAAATACTCTGCCCTGAAAAAAACCTTTTCTTGGTTTGCATTCTAAATAATTGTTGTGGTCACCACTGAGCTTTCAAATATATAAATAGTTTAAAGTTTGCACATTTTTATGATCTGTTCCTTAACAAACATTGAAACTGACATGAAAATTATTATGGGAAACATCCAGGTATACAGTCCCTGACTCGTAAGGACTCAGGTAAATACTTAGGGTAGTTCATGGCCCTAGTCTCTGGGGTACCACATGTTTCTTCTTCAAATCACAAATTCAAAATCAAGAATGATAACACAGTGATTGTATAGACAAAATAACTGAACCAAAATTGCTTGCTTCTGTCATTCTGTTGAAGCACTTAGAGTTTTTACTAGTGCTTCAAATTCTGAACAGTAAAACAGAGTGTGAATGTCATGTTGGAATATTTTTGGCTTTTTAGACACAAATTTTAAGTATGTGAAATATTTTTACAAGACTAAGTAACATCATTGAAATTACAGCTTTCTTCTTTTTAAAACTGGTATTTGTTTTAAAACGGAAGAGTAAATCAGGAAAAACATAATTGTTACTGATTATTACAAGGTTATTACTGAAAAATAAATGTATGGAATAGAGGAGGAAGGGGTTAACACACGATCTGGCCTGGGTGTTGAACATACCAATAAGCCACTGCTTCCAGGGAACGCCTAAGACAGAGCTGGCTCGGCGTGTTGGGTCACGGCATGTAAGGAAACTGCTGGGCTACATGCCACCGTCCTCAGTTGTCCAGATAAATAACCCTATAGCCCCTGGGGAAATAATAATCTTTAATTATGATATAGCTGACACCATTCAAAGCACTGCACTAAGTCCTTTATGTGAATTAACTTTCGTCAAATTTATTTTTCACAAATAACCCAAATATGTATACCATTATTATCCTACTTTACAGAAGGAGAAACTGAGCTCCTAAAGTTTAAATACCTAACCCAAGTTAAGACTGCTAGTCACCCTAGGCTATTAACTCAGGCAGTCTAACTCAGGTATGATAGCATTATGCTGCTGTCTCCAGCTTTGACTATGCCTGAATTATAGCATCATACATCTAACTAAAAAGCTAAAGGAATTAAAATGAGCCATAGGACTCAATTTAATAAAAGGAGAGAAAATATTGGGGTTAAGTGATAATGCAGAGTTTTAAATATTTTTGTGAAAGGGCCAGAGATTATTACCAGTGTGACAAAAAAATTAAAAGGTTGGGGGAAGGAGAAAAAAAAAGAGGGAGGTCTGAGAAACAGAAATATCAGAGGAAGGAAATAAAGGAGGGTGAGACTAAATTCTCTTTTAGCATCCAGATTCCACAGATTCCACAAATCACATTTCTTTTTTTTACCAACTAAGGAAAAATAACACTTGACCTAACATTTCATTGCAGTTGGCTGTGGTTTGCTCTAACTTCTTCAGGAATAGAGAAAAGTGACAAAAAGATCAGAGAAGAGAAGAAAGGAAACTATCAGAAAAATACAGAATTGGAGTAGGATATGACGTATTTGGGTTTAAGGTAAAATTTTATATTGTAATCTTAAGTATCTTGCTATTTCATTTTGGTCCCTGGAACAGCAGCATCAGAATCTGCTGAGGGCTTGTTAAAAAGGCAGAATCTCAGGTCCCACCGCAGACTCACTGAATCAGAATCTATGTACTGACAAGAGGCCCCGGGATTCATATGCACAGTAGAGCTGGAGAAGTTCCGTTGTAGCCTGTGATTGTTTTCTGTAACTTAGTATTTCTGAGTTTTCCCAAGGAAGAAAACTCAGGCCTCAGCTTCTGACAGACTTGTGTTTCTCCTTTACTTACTAGCTGCATGACTCCTCGGCAAGGAAATCAATCTTTATGTGCCTCAGTTTCCTCATCTATAAACTGGGGACTATAATCATCATCTCCCAGACTTGTTTTGAGGATGCTCAATAAATGCTCCTTTCATTCCTCCATTTACAAACTTGCCGCAGACAATTCTGCTAGCAGCCTTTGTGCTATTATCTGTTTTCTAAACTTAGTAATTGAGTGTTATCTGGAGACTAAACTCTGAAATAAATAAGCTGATTATTTATTTTCTCAAAACAACAGAATACGATTTAGCAAATTACCTCTTAAGATATTATTTTGCACTTCTATATTCTCCTACCCTGAGTTGATATGTGAGCAATATGTCACTTCCACAAAGCCAGGTATATATACATTACGGACAGGTAAGTAAAAAACATATTATTTATTCTAGGTTTTTGTCCAAAAGTTTTAAATTTCAACTGTTGTGCATGTGTTGGTAACGTAAAACAAATTCAGTACGGTAGTATTCAGTACAGTATTTAAGCCCCTGTACTTAAACATATTTCTTGTACCAGTGAAGTTACATGAAAACCAAATTTGTGTGATATATTGTAGATCAAAGTAAATTAGTCTTTATGTTCCCCACAAATTGAAATGCATTTCAAAAACTCTGTGTTGTGTATGTGTGTGTGTGAGAGAGAGAGAGACAGAGAGAGTGTGTGTGTGTGTATGTGAGAGAGAGAGAGAGAGACCCTTTGGTTGCCTCCATAAGCTGGCTGCTATGATTAATAAGACCAAGTTTTCCAAAGAAAATGAGATCATAACAAAAGCCCTCTTTATGCCTATCTTTTATCAGGGGCAAAAAGGAAAGAGACAAAACAGCGTGAGATGATGAGACCAAGTGATGAAAATTCATTCACAATGATTACTTTCAAGAGTAATTTCTCTTGGGTAATTCAGCAGCCTGTTACTATGGCTCTCTGGAGTGATAGCTAATGTAAATGAAGCCACTAAAAGTGGATTTTCCTGACAAGAATATACTCAACCAATAATGCAACAGAAATCCATTCAAAGCATTCGGGAAAAATTCAAAAGAATAAATATTCTTTTTTTTTTAAGTTAATGACCTATGATCCATTTCTTCCCTAACAAGCAGCAAGCACTTAAAAATATCCAGCCAGGATGAAATGGAAACCCACCTGACTTGTTAATATTTTTGTTTGGTTCCAGGGACTCAGATTCTAAGCCAAATTCTTTGAGTGATCTTGGCAAACATCTCGAATTATTTTTGCCAACTTTTCTTTATCTTGGAAAAAAAAATGTTTCATGAATGGGTGTCATGGGACCCAAAATTGATTAATTTTTAAAAACCTTTCTTGCAGATACGTATGACACCCTAAAAAATTTATTAGAAACAAAGTAAGTACTGTGTAGTGTGAAAAATTCTTAAAGGACATCCTCTTTTACAAACTCACAAAAACAGCCTTTGAAATACCCACATGAAGTAGCTGTTGTTTTTGCTTTCTATATACCTACATCTTGGCTATTATGAAAAGATTGGTTTTTGGCCAGGTGTGGTGGCTCATGCCTGTAACCCCAGCACTTTGGGAGGTCAAGGGGGGCAGATCATCTGAGATCAGGAGTTTGAAACCAGCCTTGTCAACATGGTGAAACCTAGTCTTTACTAAAAATAACAAAAGTTAGCCAGGCGTGGTGACAGGCGCCTGTAGTCCCAGCTACTCGGGAAGCTAAGGCAGGAGAATGACTTGAACTCAGGAGTCAGAGGTTGCAGCGAGCTGAGATCATGCTACTGCACTCCAGCCTTGCGACAGAGCAAGATTCCATCTCAAAAAAAAAAAAAAAAAAAAAAAAGACTGTTTTTTCCAACAGCTATTCCCACCCCTCTGCATGGAAATATTCACCCAATCAATTGTTTTCCTAGTTTGGGTAAAGGCCCTCTGGGCAGGACTGGAGTGGGACACACAGGGGAGCAGCTGCAAACTATGTTTAGAAGCATGTCTGGGAAATGTCATGCCAGAAAAGACATATTGAAAGGTAGGCTTTGCATGAACGGAAAAGGAGGGTAATTCTGTGTAGAGCAGAGCCTCTTATTTGGAGTGAGAGAAGCAGAAGTGGGGAAGCCAGAGGAATTACGCTTTTCATTAGCCAAATTTGCAGGTAGGAGGATTGGCTAAGAAAAGAGAAGTCATCTTGGCTGAGGCTCATGAAACCAGGTGTAAAGAAAGCGGACTAGATCAATTTCATCCATTACAGGAAGAGGAGCCGTGAGAGATAATCCAGAAATCATTGGGATTTGATGGTAGACGGTATTTGGGGACTATTCCATTTGAAATGAGAAGGCACCTGACATTCTTTGAATTCCTTTCAAGCAAAAGATTAAACTCACCCATGAGTTGACTCAGAAAAACATAAAAAGTATTGTTGCTCTGCTCAAAGTTTTATCTAACTCATTCTCACTTCTTATTCCATGATGAAATGACATAAAAGAGGTGGTTTTTGTTTGTTTGTTTGTTTGTTTGTTTTCTGGACCCAAGGCAAGGCAGCTACCTGGTCAGAGCTGTTTTATTTGTCTATGCTGTGGGGAGAAAATGGTTAACTGACTATGGAAGGCAGCCATTAAGATGTTCCCATGTGAGTGAACTTTCCAGGGTTCCCAGCTTCTGCATCCTTCCCCGTCCCTCATTTCCATTGTTGGTGATGATAAGGTCTCTCCCATCAGCCTCATGGAGTTCTCTCTCATTTATTAAAATTTGCTTTCAGGAAAAATTTTGAAAATGTGCCGATAATGCCTGATTGGCCCTTTATCCTAAAGGCTTAAACTGGAGGAAGGAAGCTAAACTGAGAAATTTTGCAAATCATTGAGCCAAAAATGTATTAATATCAAGATCTATCATTTATTGACTAGTATGTGGCAGGCAGTGCCCTTTTATTTAGGCAGGGAGGGTTGGTTGGGGGGAGTGGGGTTCACACCTCTTAAAGAGGTGCTATCTTCTCCTATATAAATCATGTAAGTCAAGAGAATAAGAAGTTGTCTTTGGTTGGTTGTATTCAGGACATTAGAGTATGCAGTAGAAGATCCCAAGAGATCTTCAGATCATTTTAGGGTAAGAAATGCCAATACCGCCAGGCACGGTGGCTCATACCTGTAATATCAGCACTTTGGGAGGCCGAGGTGGGCGGATCATGAGGTCAGGAGATCGAGACCATCCTGGCTAACACGGTGAAACCCCGTCTCTACTAAAAATACAAAAAATTAGCCTGGCGTGGTGGTGGGCCCCTATAGTCCCAGCTACTCGGGAGGCTGAGGCAGGAGAATGGCGTGAACCCGGGAGGCAGAGCTTGCAGTGAGCCAAGATAGCATCACTGCACTCCAGCCTGGGGGACAGAGTGAGACTCCATCAAAAAAAAAAAAAAAAAGCCAATACCAGTAGAAATAGAGCCAAATCACAAACATAAGCTAAACAAATGTTGGCAGTGTAGCCTGGTGGTTAAGAGAGCAGACTCTTAACTAGAACCCTGCATTCCATGTGCTCACTCCAGACCCTCACTGTGGGTTTCTAATTTAACCCCTGTTGCTTACCAGTGGCAGTCTTAAGGCATTCCTTAAGTTGATTGTGTCTCAATTTGTTCATCTGTGAAGGGATACGATGACAGTAGAGTCTACTTTATAGGATTACTGTGAGCATTAAATGAGTTAATAATGTATTTGTAAAGTGCTTAAAATGCTGCTCCAAAAAGAGTTTGTTAAACACTTAAGAACTGATTTATTTGCATGTAGACTGACAGTTCTCAATAACTGGAAATGACCAAGCATAGGCCCTGGAATATAAGCAGATCTCCATGAAGGCAAAAATGTTAATTTCTTTTGTTCAGTCCTGTGCCCAGATCAATACCTAGTGATCACACTCAAGAGATATTGTTGAATGAATCAATGAACCTACCAAGGTAGTTACATAAAAGAGTTCTGCATGAGTAGAAATCTGGGCAAAGTGACCTCCAAGGAAATTTCCACTTTTAGATTCTGTGATTTCCTTAAGGAACTGAAAATTGGTGTGATACAATATAAAAAATGTGCCTATATGATTTGAGAAAAACTTATTTTCTTTCCCTCTTTTTTCCTTCCTTTCTTCCTTCCTTCATTCCCACTTCCTTTCTTCTTCTTTCTCTCTCTTTCTCTCTTTTTTTTATTCTTTCTTTTCTTTTTCTTTATTTCTGTCTTTCTTTCTTTCTTTCTTTTTCTTTCTTCCTTTCTTTTTTCCTTTTAAGAAGAACATGTCTGTTAGATGAATGCCTTTTTCTAGTTAAAAGGTTAAACAGGAAAGTGAAGCACAATTATCAAGGGTCTCCAGTCATCCCCACATGTTCCTAATCATTATCTTCTTTTACAGTTTCATATCTCCAGGCTTTTCATTGGGTCAGGTTGGCATTTCACTGCCCTTTGTGTGTGTGACAAGTGAAAATAGGGAAAGAAAAGAAACTCAAGTGAAGAAAACCAGAATCTGTGCAGCAGATCCGAGATGTTTCAGCTGCTTCCCACGTACCTGCCTCATCAAGCCCCAGCATCCATCTCCTTGCTCATCTTACACCCCGTGTGCAGGACAGGCCCACTATTCGTTTATCAGAACAAAGCCTCTCCCACTATTCTGGTTCTCCCTTCACTTAGCCAGATATACAAGAATATCTGCCCAGATGACCTGCCTCACCTGGGAGCTCAGAGGAGCTCAGATTCCATTACTATCACACCAATGACAGATCTCCCAGCAACAATCACAGAAAAGACTAACTGCCCCCAAAATCTCCCTTCCAAAACACAGTTCTCCTCATTCTCCCAAGAAACCGGAATGTGACTGCTCACTTCTCTAAGGACCTGAAAACAATTGGCCATTTCAGTTATTTAAATCAACTTTAAAAATTTCAACCCCCAAAATATTAAACCATTTTGGTTGGAATGATAAAATAACTAACTTGCTGACAGTTGCTTGGACTATTTGCAGAAATGGAAAAAAATACTTCTAATCAGGTCAAATCACTCTGCCTTTGGGATTCTAAATTTACTCATATTCTCAAAGAAATATATTCAGTCATAGTAGGGAAAATAGGATTATTCCTTTAGCTCAATAAGCAACCAGAAGTTCTTTCTTCAAATCTTGACATTTAATCAATTAGAAATTGATTTTCTGGAAAACTGTTTCCTATGAAACTATCTTTGCCTGCCGGATTTTTCTTTTACAATCCAGACTATAGAAGGAAATTCGCAACCTGGACTTTCACCTCCATTGGTCAGAGTTTCACTGACCAATTCCCACCTCTGCCTTACACCAGCAGAAGTTTTTGCCTCTGTTTTCTCTTCACATACTCCAACAGTTACAAATGGTTGTTATTATTAGGCATCTTTTATTTTGTGACCCCTGATTATATGGTCCACTAAATTTTGACCTAATCACAAAAGATTGGTAAAATTTTTTAACATATTAATAATATTTTATGTGTCAATATCTTAGCATGTATCGATTAAGACAGAGGTCTTAACATTCTCTTTTTGAAAAAGAATATTAAGATTCAGAGATATTAAGAGATTCTCCCAGGATTACAGTTAGGTAACAGAGCTGGATTTTAGTCCAGGGCCATCTACAACTCTAACATATGTATACCCTTTTTATAACATGGCACGAATTCAGCGTAAAGGGGTCTTCAGTCATCTAAGTCAGGGGTCAGCAAACTTTTTCTAAAAAGGACCAAAAAGAATATTTCAGGCTTTGTGGACCCTGTGGTCTCTATCACAACTGTTCAAATCACCATGTAGTGTAAAAGGAGCTATAAACGATATAAACTAACCAATGTGATTATTTTATGGAATTTTTAAAAACTCTTTATTTACAAAAGCAGCTGGCAGGTCAGATCTCACTTATGGGTCATAGTTCTCTGACCTCTGACCTGATAACATCTTATATTTGTGGACAACATTTAGACTGTGACCTGCTGAGTAAGAATGAGAAGCTCTGTCAACTGAAGATCAAGGCTGGAGCTATGAAAGCAAAGAGCTGCCTGGTGTTAATGATAAGTGGGATAGTTAAAGTTAGAAGATTCCAACTGTAGGAAGCACAGAGAATAACGACCATAGACTCCTGAACAAGAATGTCTGGACTTCTGGCTTGGGTACTCTGGTTGTATGGTCTTGGCCATGTTACCTAATCTCCCCAGGCCTCCTTTTTCTTATCATTAAATGAAGATAATAAAAGTATTTTCCTCAGAGAGCTGTAAGAATAAAATGAGCTAACACATGTCAAGCACATAGAATAGGGCCAAGCCTATATTAATTTATCAATAAATGCCAGATACATATTAGTTCTTTATGTTTTTATTCATTATCATAGAATGTTTATCTACAGATTGGCATTGTAAGGATGGAGTTAAAATTTTATATATATGAAGGGAAACTATTCCTGTTACTATTGATCTGCATCACATTACCCCAAATTTGATGGCTTAAAGTAACAACATTCATTTTGCAAACAAATTTAAAATTTGAGGAGGGCTTGTCTGGGAAGACTCGTCTCTGGTCTATGTGGTATCAGCAGGGGGAGGCTTGATGGACTGGCACATGTACTTCCAGAATGGCCCACTTGCATACCCGCCTAGTTGGTGCTGGCTTTTGGTTGGGAGCTAAGCTAGGGCTGAGTGCTAGGGTTCCCGGGAGGTTCCTTGTGGCCTGAGCTTCCTCACAGCAAGGCAGCTGCGGTGCAACAGTGAGCATTTCAAGAGAGAGCTAGAATGACACTGTATTACTGTGTAAGACCTAGCCTGGGAATTAATGTAGCATCACTTCCTTCCCATTCTATTTTTTAAAAGTGAGTTATTAAGGTCACCCTATATTCAAGGGGATAGGAATTAGACTTCATCTGTAATAAGAAAAGTGTTTTTAAAAATTGTAGACATGTTTTGAAATTCTGAAGTCCACTTACTGGTTACAAATTATTTATATATACATGCAAAATACACTCCTACACTCTCACCTTAGAAGACTCAGTAGCAGGTACAGATGAAGTCCTTCAAGTGAGATTTCTTATGTATTTATCCTCTCAATCTGAAGACTTGTAAACTAAGAGACAAGTTATTTGCAACCTACATACTCAATATTCAATGGTAAAATATATATAGGACAGCCACTATAGACACTCTTGTTTTAAATAGAGGAAAATCAGAGCACATGACAGTCATTGGCTCATAGTAACTCTGATATCCAGACAGCAAACACTGCAGGTCTCTTTGTAGGTCTCAGTCCTGCTGCCTGGATTCCCTACTGCTTCTTGGGTCTTCCCTCCGGGTTCTTGGTTCTTGGCCCTCTTTTCATTTAATATTGTTTCTGTTCCTTTTAGCTCAAGCTGTCAAAATGTGTTTGTACAATTCTGTTTAAAATTCCGGGACTTCCTGTGATTCTTATTAGAGAATACTCCATTAGACAAAAATCTGTTTGACGTAAGTCATTCTCTACCCGAGATCCCTGTAAGGCTGTGATGGGACTACATAACCTTAAGATTACTAGAAGCTTTATTGTTTAACTGAGAGAATCTGCCTAGCATATGCTTAGATCCTTAGAGGAACTCTGTTTCAAAGGGCTTATGAGACATTACCTTATATCTTTCTAAGGTACAAACAAAAGGTCTTTGGCTTTTGAATTTGATCTTTGGGTTGATATCTTTTCTTAATTTGAGAATCCTCTGCTCTATGGAGAGACTGAGAAAGAGAAATAGTTTTATATTTGAGTGTAACATCTTGGATCTTTAATAGATTATCTTAAATTTTTCCTGAAAATGTAACAGTTCCTGTTTTTAAAATTCATTCTCCCCACACACTTATTATATATGACTAAAAGAATCTCCCTGGCATTTTCAACATTCTGGTTGGAATTTTTCTTAGCCCAATCTACCAGTTTATTAGGTATATTTTGTATTTTCCATGTCACTGCAGGTGACAATCTTGCTAAACTTTCTGCCACTACATAACAAGGATTCCTTTCTCCAGTTTTCAGTAACAATCTACCAATAGCCTCCTCAAGGTCTACCAAGATTCTACTAAAAGTCTCTTTCAGCCCCTTCCAGCTTCTGTCCACCAACCAGTACCAGAAGCAATATCCATGTTTTAGATTTCACTATAGTGGCATCTAGTTTCGAGTTCTCAGAACCTGTTTTGATCACGTTTCACTGTTTCCAAAGCATCCCAAAACAGTAGCTTAAGACAGTAACACTTATTTTGCTCACAGGCTGTACAGGAAGCATGGCTGGTAAGGTTTCAGGAAATATACAATCATGGTGGAAGGCAAACGATGTATGTCTTACATGGCGAGAGCAGGAGAAAGAGAAGGGGAAGGTGCCACAAACTTTTTAAAAACCTAGATCTCATGAAAACTTACTCACTATCATGAGAATAGCAAAGAAGAAATCTGCCTCCATGGTCCAGTCACCTCCCACCAGACCCCTCCTCCCTCACTGGGGATTACAATTCAACGTGAGATTTGGGCAGGGACACAAATCCAAACCATATCAGTTGGCAAACCTTTTTTAAGAAAGTAATGACATCAACTCCTTGGGGATGTGGATTGGGAGAGAATATTGGAGAGGATCCAGGGAAAGTG